AAGCTATAGGTTCAAAATGTATCAAATAATTCCCATTATGTACAACTACTCCGTGATTCTCATTTTTACTGAAGATTAGCCACTGTGCCATGACATCCCTTCAACGACAACCCTCATATATTATAGTGCCTCTGATGTAGTATCATTTCACAGGAACATTGTCATACAAGATGACACAAAAAAAAGACGTTAGGACAGGTGATCAAATCCTTGATTAAAGAAGTAGGTTTTTAGCTGCATCTTAAAAAGAGAAAACCAGAGAGGCTTAGACAATATATTCCAGAGCTATGGGACTAAGCAGAAGCAGGCAATACTAGGAGGAGACAAATGGGTGATTCACAAGGCCAGATTTGCTGGGCACATCATGGATTGAAAGACTGAAAGCAGTTACTAGAACAGAGGGGGATTTGAACAACCAATTTTTTTTTAAGAAAGGCATGCAGTTTGTAAGGAAGAAAATTTATGTTTGGTTTGCTAATACTTGGCACAACAACCTCCCAAAGACAGTGATGAGATATAGCGAATTTGTAAAGGTAAAGTCTTATTCTTTTATTAGAGAGTGATTGCTGGTGGTGGTTTAACCTGGGGGTCACCACACTTCAGACAAGGGGAGAGGTTGACAAGGAGAGTCCTTTATGGTAACCTCAGATGGTGCAGGAATTGAACCCACACTGTTGGCATCACTGCATCACAAACTGGCTAACAAGCCAACTGAGCTAACCAACTCACCCAGCCAATCTGTACTTATGAATAGACTGACGCTTCAGTATGACACTAAGGGACTTCTACGTGGTCAGAGGTGCTGTCCTTCTAATAAAGTCTTGCCAAGACCCCAACTGCCGCTCCAACAGCTAGTCCAGCACAAAATAATTAATTGCAATTCAGATGCTGAGGCATTTCTGAACAACGTGATAAAAATAGTCAGGCGTGTGCAAATCTTTAACTATAAATATGACAAATTGATTAAATGTGTCCCTGCCCCATATTGAAGTTCTTGGTCAGTACCATTATGCAGGGTTTGGTAAGGAATACTGCTTGTGTTTCAGGTTGTAGCACGCTTCGGTCTGAGTACGAAGGTTTTGGGTTCCAGTCCTAAGTCCAGTGTTTTGAGCACAAAATTTTGACTGATCACCACCACCACCACCACCTCCCCCCCCCACACCTCCACACACACACTCCCCATGTAGTGCTGGGTGAAAATACTGTCTTTTAGCTAGAAAGTTAAGCTGTGTTTAACCCATCTTGGTGACATTAAATAATTCCCATAACATTACATAAGGTCATTCTTCCTAAATAAGGTGTCCTCATCAATATTTCTTCCTCAACCAAGCTAAAGAGAAATAATCATGTCATTATCACTTTATGGCATTTTGCTGTATACTGGCTGCTGTACTTACCTACATTACAACAGTAACAGTTTTTAATAAAGGTTCATTTTTGGCGATGAAATGCGTTGTGATGTCCTGAGATCGTGAGAGGTGCTATATAAATGCGTATTGTTTCTGCTGGCCGCACAGGATTCATCTCACTGGGTTCTGCAAGTGTGTGTCTTGATTAGAGACTGTCTCTCCCTGGTGTATTGAGAGTATTGGCTGCCTTAAGCTAAGCCAGCTGACCCTCCATGTCAGCTCAGTACTGGAATTGCTGGTGCATTGGATCTGTCAGCACCGAAAGACAAAATAGCTTTTAGCATCGAGTCCAGAGGCTTTGAACTGATGCATGGCAAACTTTGATTTATTTTTCAGGAGGATGCGTGAAGCTGAGAGGAAAGTTCAGTGAAGCATTCCAGTTGAGAGTGGAGTGTATTAATAGGTGCACTCTGAAAGTCCTTTCTTCTCTCTCTTGCTGATTTCCTGCGATAAAGAAATCATTGAGGAGTCTGCGTTCTTAAGCCCTATCCAAACTAAACAACACTGAAGTCTCGGGTGACCTGGTTACATTGGTTTGGATATGGGAGAGTTGATTTGAAAGTTTCTGCTGGGTTGAGCTCTGGACTTGTCTCATTATCCCGAACCACAAGTGAAGTACGGAGAATGAAGCCTGTCACTCCAGTTGGCTCCCCCTCCCCTCTCAGGCTACTAAACAAAGGTCCTGAATATCTACGCAGGCAAATGGAAAGTGGAAATAGGGGCCGGGCACCGAGTGCTGTCGAGAGACTTGAAGCAGACAAGCCAAAGTATGTCAAAAGCCAGAAAGTGATGAACGCTAAGCAAGAGACAATTGCCAGCCCTGCTGTAACTCCACAACCTTCTGCTCAAAACTGGGTCAGACCAGGTGAGGCGAGGAGGCCATGCCAGGATTTTGATGCCAGGAAAGAAAATGCCAATTTGGAACAACTCAACAACATCAGAAATGTCTTTGTGGACAAGCCATCCCACAATCCAGTGGTCACGAGGAGAACCACCTCCAAGAGAGTCATGAGGCCAGACTCCTTAATCATTTACCGACAGAAACGTGACTGCAAGACAGGCAGCAATGAGAACTCCAGGGGCTATAACTTCATCCGACGCCTTTTTCAGGGGTCCACCAGGGACAAGCAGGTGAACTCTCTCGAGTTGCCAAAGATCATCCTGAAGGAGGGCAGTAGGTCTTTCTCTGAAGTTAGCTCTCCTGTTATGTCGCACATCAGTCGTCTCAATGACTGTGAAGCGACAGAAGTTGAAAATCATTGTGTCAAGCTCTTCACTAACAAGAAAATCGCAGGCTCAGTTTCTCCAAACCTTTGCTTAACCAGAACTCTCAACCTGCCAAGTAACCTTTCTGAAGCAAATAGCCAAGTAGCTTTGAGAAACAGGACTTTGCAACATCCGAACAGGGACCACTTGCTGCGTAATTCGGTCACTTTGTCAGAAGAAGAAAGGTTTTTCAATTACTGTGGGCTTGACCCTGACATGGCAGAGCATCTTGGGCTGTCCAACTTCTCTCCTGCTCCTTCAGACTCGATATCTCCCGGAATTCAGAATGTCAGCATGACTGAGAGTGATGGCAGTGAATTCTCTCATGGAAGCAGAGATGGTGAAGGCCTTTATGAAGAAGAAATTCAGGAGCAGGTCTCTTTGGGGATATCCATCATTGAACGAAATGCACGGATCATCAAGTGGTTGTACAGTTGTAAAAAGGCCAAAGAAGGACCAAGGGAATCAACAGTATAGAGTTTTAGAACTTGCCCCAAAATGCAAACGGAATATTTTCATTGAAGTACATTCTGTCTTAAGTATTAATACCTTGAGGAATTGAAGTAAATTCTGTCTTTAGCTCAACCATATGGCACATATTTAAAAAGTTTTATTTTCTTAATTTAACTGCTAAAACTGATGTTCAGTTTTGGTCTGAAAGTTTCAGTTGAAGTTAATGAGTGAACAAGGGATGATGAATGCAACATTTTATTGCAGTGGCAGCCTTGAACAGGACAGGGGGGTGGTTAGGGGGTGGACGCTACATTTTCCTTTTATTGGAGTATTTGTACTCAGAGGTCATGGACATAATGCTGGTCAAGTGGACTGTCTTCACACACTAATGTTGACAGCACACACACCCAGATCTAACATATCACAGGTAAAAAAGAAAGACCTCCATGGGATGACCTGAAGTGCTTTACTGCCAATTGAGAATTCGTAACTATTTGCTGTTGTAAAGTGGGCGTTGTGACGAGACAATTTGAAGCAGCAAGTTCTCACAAACATCAACATGATAATGACAACCTGTTTTTAGCATTAGAAAGAGAAATATTGGTCAGACACTGGGAGAAACATACCTGCCCTTCAAAATAGTGCTGTGGGATCTTCATTCATCTGGAGGGTGGACAGAGCCTCAGTTTAATGGGCTCACCCAACAGCTGACACCTATGACAGTATAGCACTCACTCAGTACTTCATTGGAAGTATCAGTCTTGATTTTATTCTCGAGTCTCTGGAGTGGGACTTGAACCCACAACTTTGACTCTTAGGCAAGAGTGCTACTCACAGCAGTCACCCAATATAAATATATAACATTTAGAGGCAAAGTAAAGCCTCTTTTACAATATCCTGCTAGGACACAATTATGTAAGAGTATTCTTGACTGTATCAATGTGACAATTTTTGAAGCAAAACTGTCAAATTAGGGGGAAATCTGTGCATATTAAATGCTGGAGTGTGATTGCACAAACTGATCTTTTGTACAAGTGGTGAAAGGTGTTTTTTCTTATCTTGTGATATGGTTGTACCCAGGCCCTGGAACCAATCAGCAACTTTAAGCAAAATCTCCACGTTTGGACCAACATTTTCTTAAATGTATATACATATTCTGAAAAACATGCAGCAGAGTTAAAGGAAATGAAGATTCTGGAAGTGAAATAAGGTGACCTTTCCAAATGCAAACTCGACAATTACATTAATTACCAATTTTCAAATAAACTTAAAGGGGTGTTTTTGTTTTGAAGGCGTTCAAAAGTTTTTTTGTAAAAGCTAAATTATATAAAGGAAAATAAAGAAATATAGACAGGTATTCGGTATTGATTTCTTGTAGGAACAAAAATATAGGAAACTTGATTCTGGTACTTTTCATCTTCCACTCATCAGGACAGATCAGCAAGAATACCAAATCTCAAAGGAAACAATTCCTTGAACTGCATGAGAAACAGGATGCAGATTGGCTGGCAAGTGGAATCTGAATGATTAAGGTTTTGTGACTTGCCAACGAATCAGCCCCGTGTTTATCATGTAACTCTATTTGTTGTTCCTATTGAGATTTGGGATTCTGTCCTGATGAGTGCAAGGCAAATAGCTTCAACAGTATATCATTTTGTTTTACAATACTCAAATTCTGTTCCAAGAAGCAACTAAAACATGTTAATTAATTTCTTCCATTTCTGATGCCATAACTATGCCAAAATGACTGGTTTGTCCCATGAAACAGAGGCTGAAGAGTTCCCACTAATTCTATTTTCCCACCTCTCCTCCTCAAAATGCCTCAAATTTTCAATATTCAAATAAACCCTCCAGTGCTGTGCTTGACTAGCTAGAACTAGAATTATTGTCATGTGTACTCAACTACAGGGATACAAGAGTACAGTGAAAAATGTATGAAGTCCCATCTTAGGTATAAAATCTTAAGTACAAGGTAGAAAAATAAAGAAATAAGTTAAAAATTCAACATTACAGTCCTTCTTTAGCCATGGTCCTGCAGACACTCCATGCTGGGTTTCCCACAAGAGCTCACACTTCCCACAAGGCTCGATCTCTCCTCCACAGCTATGGCTATGTGTATCAGCAAGTTATTGCAATGTACCCTAACCCAACTCTCACACATTATCATAAACATTATCTTTCAATAGGGAACTTCACTGGAACTTTGCTGATACACACTTCTACCCTGATATCCCCTCCCCCTGAGTCTACTGTGCCACCTCAGTTCCTGCCCAGGTTTTATTCCATAGACTGTAGAGTTATAGAGACCCTCAGCACGGAAAAAGGCCGTTTGACCCGTCGCATCTATGCTGGACAAAAACAACCATCTAACTGTTCTAATCCCATTTTCCAGCTTGCCCATAGCCCTGTATGACTTAGCATTGCAAATGGTTACCTAAATGTTATGAAGGTTTCGTCTCTACCACCTTTACAGGCACACTTCCAAATACCCACCAGCCTCTATAACATAGGCTCTATTTGACCAATCTATATGGATTAATGCCCTGTGCTCTGCATCAGTTTATCTGACTCCCATTACGACTTCTGACACTGCTCGTGCTCCCTTAAGTATACATCTGTCCTCCCCATGACCTCTGCTCCTATGAAACGGTGAGGAGCATATTCTCACCACTCTGTGAAAAAAAAACTCCTTGTTCTTTATTTCCCTTCATGACTTCTTCTATTTATGTTCCCTTGTTCTGGATTCGCCAATGAATGGAATCAGTTTCACTATATCCATCCTATCAAATAAATCCCTTCATAATGTAAAGATTTCTATTGATTCATCCCTGAGGTTTCTCTTTTTTAGATAAAGGAGTCTCAGCCTATTAAGCCTGGTCAGTAACGTTCTGCTAAAACTTTCTTTCACTTAATTCCCGGACATCTTCATAAAATCCAGTCTGTAATATGAAAAGCTGAACTGTGCACCTTGTAGTTCAATGAAAGATTGATTGCTTACTCAGTGTGATGCATATGGATCTGAAAGGGTTAATACTCCACCCACTGGTGATGACATTATGTGGACTGGAGAGTAAAGGAGGTCATCAAAAGGGACAGACCTATGCCTACCAACAACTTTTGTGATATTGTAGTTTGTTCTCATAACCTGTAAATATTGCAAAGATGCAATAAACTACGTTTTGTTTACTCTTCAAGATTTCTTGTTAGATCAGAGGATGACTGCACTCACTTACACGCCAGACCCCAGGAGGTCAACCTGGGAATGGAGACCATGTAAACCTGTAAAGAGCCCATATTACCTAGAAGATACAAGTGTTAGCACAAACAGAACTCAGCACAGTTCTCTGTTTGAAATCAACATGATGGCTTTACCCCATCTAATTGAGAGAGATAAATTGGCAGTTTAAGTAGTTTGCACGTAATATAAAATTGAGGGTGATTTTAATCCCCAAGAATAGGTGTGGTGCAATTCTAACAATTTCTGTTTTAACTAGAATGCATGTCAAGTAAAACAGAGGAGGTTCTATTAGATAATTGTATTAAGGCACTAGATGTGGCCAGAGTAGGAGCAGGAGTGTTATTTGAGGCCTAACAGGCTTATTTATAAATCCTACTCTTTCACCTACAATCACCCGCCCTGACCACTAGACCTCACACTATGATCTCCCCCTGCCTTCCTTTCTGCTTCTCTCTCTGGTGTCTTTCTACTACAGGCCTTCCCACCACACAGCCTATTATTCTGGTTGGCCGCTGAACTGGCTGAAGGACAGGAATGGTGTAGAAAATCTTGTAAAAGGTGGTGGAAGAAAGTGTACTTCTGAGTTTCCCAACCACAGTTCCACTCTCTACATGTTCCTGCAAATATCAAAAAGATATAATCTACAGCACAGAAGGTAACCATTTGGCATCAGCTTTCTGTAAAAATCATCCAAATCTTTCCGCTCTTCCTTCACAGCAGCACTCCACCCCTGTTAATAACCATGCATTTATTTTCCATGTCTAGTGATTATATGATACACTCAAAAGTTAAATTTTCTCCAACTACTCATCAAGCAGTGTGGGGTCATACTTGGCTGCAGTAAAACAAAATCTCAACCCTTTCTTGACTTTTTTGCGAATTATTTTAATCCTGTATTCGCTCATAACCCACCCACCTGCCACTGGAAACTGTTGCTAACATCAGTATTTATAAACTCTCATTGGGAAGAGTCTGCTATTTGGAGAAACTGAGCTGGATGGAGATGGAGAACAAATCTCCCTTCACTTTGTCACAAGTATTTTGCATTGACCATACAAAAGAATCCTTGGATTAATTACGAATAAGCAGATGCCTCCTCATTTATTATCACAAAGTATGATTAATTGAACCTTGAACTATCATGTAGACCTTACAAACCTATGAAAAGGAATATGGGTAGGCCACTTGGCCCCATGAGCCTGTTCCATTGTTCATAAGGCCATGACTGATCTGATTTTTATCTCAACTCTACATTCCTGAATATCCCCAATAATCTTTTATCTATCTGCCTCAGTCTTAGAAATATTTAAAGATTCTGCATCCACTGCCTTTTGAGGAAGGGAATTCCAGGGACTTGCAACCCCATGAGAGAAAAAGTGTTTCATCTCTTGTTTAATTGGGCAGCCGTTTATTTTTAAACTTTGACACCTATTTCCAGAGTCTTCCAAAAGAGGAAACATGCTTTCAACATTCATCCAATTAAGGCCCATCAGGATCTTTATATGTTTCAATTAAGTCATCTCTGACTCTTCTAAGCTTCAGACAATATGGGCCTAGCCTATCTAGCCTTTCCTTAAAAGGCAATCTGATCAATCCAGGTATGGGTCCCATAAACCTTCTCTGAATGGCTTCCAATGCATTAACATCCTTCTATAAGTATGGTGACCAGAACCGTACACAGTACACAAGATGAGGTTTCACCAATTTCCTGTACAACTTAAGCATAAACACCCGAGTCTTGCAATAAACTATAATGTTCTATTAGCTTTCCAATTATTTGCTGGACATTCTTGCCGTCTGAACCAATGTAGTTTTGCATTAAATATCTGAAATCTGGTTTATTTCTGTTCTTTCAAATGCACAGGCAACATGTTGGAATGGTAAGCATCTGCAGGTGAGATTTAACCACCATAATTAAACAACAAGTCTGCCTATTGGAATGAAATTTACAAAAATGACACATGATTGACTACAGTATACTTAACAAAATACAACAGAAAAGAAAGATTCGCATTTCTAGGGCATCCTTCACAGCTTCAGGACATCCCGAAACGTTTTACAGGCAATGAAATACATCATCATGTCTGTCAGGAATGCAATAGATAATTCTCACACACAAAAAAAATTGCTAATGGCTACAACTTGGGTTTTCATGATATCACCTGAAAAATGAATATTGCCTGGGAATGTTTTACATTTCACTGTATTGTTTGTCTCTATATTTTGATCATTTTCCTGCACTTTTTGCTGTACCTCAGCACTGGATATATGAGAGCTGTGATTGGATGTGGAGATCTTTCTCTCTTGCACATACATCACCAAGTTTTAAAAGATTTCAAATTGCTTCATGGTAACTTTGACTCAGTGGTAGACTACCAATCAGTGAAGTTGTGCGTTCAAGCTCATCAAACAGGAGGTCGGGAAGATCATCTGAATCCCATTCCCCTGGGTTCCATCAGGAACCAGCCAGTCAAGACTCAGGTGTTAAAGTTTCCCAGGTGTCCTGGCGCCAATATCCGCAGAACTGTTCCTGTCAACTTAACTCCTTTCTGGTATAGCTAAACACTCAGCCTGAATCTATCTCGGCCTATATTTCTCAATTTCCTTCTTATTCTGCATTTTACGGGGTAAATGTTGAGATTTGCACAATAATGTAAAATGATAATTATGCATCCACCCATTTTGCATCTCTATCCAGTTTTATTTAATTGAAATTAGTGGAAATAAAATTCAGAGTGATACTTTTGGGCTGACAATTCACTTATCACCTGCTTTGTGCTATCAAAGTTTAGACAGTCTCTCTCTGTCTCTATGGCTACATGCCTCCTGAAGTCACCTGTCTATTCACTATGCCTCCCTCTACCACATTTTTTGTGTCACTTTCAAAAACAGTAGCATTCATTCAAAAGTTATTAAAAAGAGAAACAAGCTGGAAGAATGTGATGGATGTTTAAATGTGAACTGCACCTGGCATTTGTGATTAAATAGTGTTTTGATTGAGTTGAAGGGGGTCTGGTGGGGAAAAAATGTGAACGTCGAGATGATTTTACTGCAAAATGTCAAGAGTTAAACCTAACTTCTGACTAGGACCTGACCTCAGTATGGACACTGGGATACTTTTGCTTATGCTCAACTCATTTATATGACCAGATGCTGTTTAGACCCAGGAGCTGTGCCAGTCTGTGATGTGCTGTTTTCCACTCTTGTTAACAGCAGTTTGGGGGATAGTTTATCTTATAACTCCTCTTGATAACTGCATAGAGCCTAATAGAATAGGAATTCCTCTGAATTCTTCATTAATTCCAGAGACAGGTCAGAAAAGTGACCTTGTAGAAGTGTCAGCATTTCTAAGTTCCTAAATGACTGCATCACTTTAATTAATGATTTACATTTCTCAATTACTCATTCTATAGTTCTCCAGCTCTTATTCCCAAACTTTACTCTTCCAACCAAGGTCTATCATTTATTCCACTGTTCTCTATGCAATTCCTCATTCTTCTTTCCCTCAGCTATGTCATTAGAGTTTGAGTCATCACATACATTACCCATCGTCTTCCCTTTTTAATCATGTCTGCCTTGTTCCCATTCTTGTCATTTTCAAAACTCCTCACAATTTGACTCTGACAATGTATTCTCTAATGCCTCTCTTCCGTCTAATTTGCAGCCTTACCCTTGTGCCCTCCCCGTCATCCAACCTTGTATCTCAGAGCATTGCCTTAAAGTTGTTACATATAACTCTTTGCAAACTATCAAGGCTGCTCTGACCTTCAGTAAGATCATGGCTGATCTGTATCTTAACTCCATTTAGCCTCCCTGATTCAGTAACCCTTAATCCCATTGCTTAACAAAAGTCTATCAATCTCAGTTTTGACACTTTTGATTGAGCCCAGCTTTCTATGGGAAAACAGACCCAAGTTTCCACTACCTTTCATGTAAAAAAGTCTTCAACATCATCACTCCTGAGTCACCTGGTTCTAATTTCAAAGTCATGCTTTTGTTCTGGGCTATAGCCCCATCCTCACCCCTACCTCTAACCATTGAAAATAATTTCTCTCTCTCTAACCTCTCAGCTCCTTTCATTATCTTAAATCCCTCAGTAAGATTACCTCTTAATCTACATTCGAGGAAACTGAAAGCACAATAGATAGATTGGTTTTTTAAAATTAATTCATAGGATATGGTCACAGACTAAGTCAGCATTTATTGCCTGTCATCTTATCGCCCACAGGATGGTTAAGAGTCAACTAAATTGCTATGGATCTAGAGTGACATGGAGGCCAGACCAGGTAAGGACATCAGTGAACCAGATGGGTTTTTACAAGAATCAGCAGTGGTTATTTGATTGCTGTTAGAGTAGCTTGTTATTCTAGATTTTTATCGAATTCAAATGGCACCATCTGCTATGGTGGGATTCAAGCCCACATCCTCCATACACTAGTCCAGTAGACTACGCAACTGCTTGCCCTCATGCACTGAATGTTCTTACCTGTGAGAATATGTAATACTGGGGACCATGATACAAAATTGCTGCTGAGGAATAAGGAAAAGGACCTTTACTCAGGAAATATTTAAAAGTGAACTCCCTAAATTAAAGACTTTCCAAAGGAAATTTAGATGAGTATGTGAAAGAAAATGAAATAAAAATCTACTCCAAATGGTAGAGCTGAGATTGATTAGATGAGTGAAATTTCTGTAAAACAGACTAAATGGGCTGAATGGCTTGTTTTTGTACTGTACATTGAGTCTTAACTAATCATCCTCTGGACATGTCTGTCATTGGCAAGGCCAGCATTTATTTCCCAGTCCTGGACATGTCTGTCATTGGCAAGGCCAGCATTTATTTCCCAGTCCTGGCGGCTGCGGTGAAGGTGATGGTGATGAGCTGCCATCTTGACCTTGCAAAAGTGAAATGGGAATAATCAAGCAGTGGGCTGGGGACATGAGAAACCATCTCACAGTCACTCACACCA